AGGTGGGGGCCTGCCTGAAATACCTGGGCCTCCACCTCGATAGCAAGTGGACCTTTCGGGAACACTTCCGCCGTATATCCCCCAAGGTGGAGAAAACAGCAATGGCGCTACAGCGCCTGCTGCCCAACCTTGGGGGACCTGGCGGGAGTGTCCGAAGACTGTACGCCGGAACAATCCACGCCATGCTCCTGTACGGAGCCCCGGTGTGGGTGAAACGTCTGGAGGCCACCCGCGGCCCAAGAGACGCCGTAAGGCAAGTCCAAAGGCGGGTGGCTAACAGAATATGCCGGGGCTACCGGACAGTGAGCTGGGTGGCCGTGGGGGTACTCTCCGGAGTGCCCCCAGTGGAGATGCTCGCCCGCATGTACGCGGACGTATATACGCGTACGCGTGAATATCAGCGGGCGGGCATCATAATAACGGACGGAGTCCGGCGTACGGTGAGGGTCCACTCCCGACGGGCGCTGATCCAGAGATGGAAGGACAGCCTCGAAGATCCGAGGCTGCCAGGACAGCGCACCGTCGGGGCTATACGACCCTGTCTAGAGAATTGGCTAGACAGGGTCAAAGGAGGGGTGTCTTTTCACACAACGCAGGTGCTCACCGGACATGGTTGTTTCGGTGAGTATCTGCACAGGATTGGAAAAGAGCGCACAACGCGATGCTGTCACTGTGGCCACGAGCGAGACACCGCCCAGCACACACTCGAAGAGTGTGCTGCCTGGGCGGGCGAGAGAGAGGAGCTCGTGGCCATAGTGGGGAGGGATCTGTCATTGCCCTCAATAGTGAGGGCAATGACAGATAGAGAGGAAGCCTGGAAGGCGTTCTCCTCCTTCTGCAGCAAAGTTATGCTGCAGAAGGAGGAGGCAGAGAGAGAGAGGGAGAGAGGAGTGACGGAGGATGGGGACGTGCCCCCTCTTTCCCCGGCACCGGCGGGCGTGCCCGCTCGTGGTGCCGGGGATCGGGGGGGGGGCGCCCCCAGTGAAGAAGAGGGAGAAGACACGGAAGGGGGAGGTGTGCCCCCTCCCGCTCCCCCGCGGACACCCCCCCGTGATACCGCAGTGGTTTAGTGTAGTATGTCTTGGGCCCCCTGACGATCTTAGTGGATCGGCCAAGGGGAACAAGAAGTCTCACATAACCATCCGCTCTCTTTCCGGAGAGCGGTGGTATCCATGAGGCTTCCCACTGCGTCAAAAAAAAAAAAAAAAAAGGTGTAGTCCCCACTGTGGGACTTGGGCGGCGGTGATGTACCGGTGGGCTTAGCCGTGCCGGGGTGATCCGCCGCACTTGTCCATGGATCGCCTGGGGTTGCTCGCGTGACCATCTCTCACTCACCTGAAGGGTGTGGAAGGAGATGGTCGTGAGGATTGTGCTTAATCCTCCGGAAATCCGTAAGTACACTTACTTCGAGTCATTTACTTCGAGACACGGATGCCCACCGGGGCGCGGTGATGTCAAGTGACGGGATATGCTCCCAGAGGCTGACATCGCCAGCAACAGGGGTCCGCCTTCCCCCTCGTATAAAAACGCGGAGGCGGGGATACGGGTAGGGATGATGATGGTTGCTCGAGCTTATCTCGAGTGATCAGACATCATACAAACAGGGGTCTGCCTTCCCCCTCGTATAAAAACGCGGAGGCAGCCGGGCTGGGAATGTTTCAGTACTGTAAACATTCCCGGGGCTACGTTTAGCCGACAGCACGGGGGTCCGCCTCCTCCTGAAAAAATCGGAGAGTGGCTAGGGACTTAGATCGCGTGCCTCCTACCGGGAGGCTCGGGTAGAATCTCCTGGTGCTTGGCAACAGGGAAGAAGAGGGCTGTGCTTCACCCTTCGGAAAAACGGAGGCACATTACTCGAGTCACGGATGCCCGTCGGGGCGCGGGGATGTCAAGTGAAGGGACAAAGTCCTGGAGGCTGACATCGCCAGCAACAGGGGTCCGCCTTCCCCCTCGTATGAAAACTCGGAGGCGGGGACACGGGCAGGGATGATGGCTCTTCGAGCTTGCTCGAAGAGTCAGACATCATACAAACAGGGGTCCGCCTTTACCCCTCGTATAAAAACGCGTAAGGCGGCCGGTGCCGGGATGTATTCAGCATGGAAACATCCTGGTTAGACATGGCATGGTCTGAACGGGAAAAGGCACGTACTCCTGCGGATTCGAGCCTGCATACGCTGGGTGATGTTTGGCACACATCAACCCATAAGGCATGCGCGGGGTCTGGGCCCTCTATTCTGCTGGGAGGCTGCACCCTTAGAGGAAAAACAAAGGGCTATGCCCACAAGGAGGAGGAGCCCCGCAGGAGGGGCTCCATATTTTCCTGGGGGATCTGCGGGAGTGGCGGCTTTGACTCAACACAGACGTCTGCCTAGTGGAAGATCGTTTACTCCACTATAAATAACCGGTAAACGACACGCGAGGGAAAGGGGGAATCTGGGAAAGATACTCAGATATCCCTCTGACGGGAAGGGAACCCTAGCAGAGGGAGAACTAAAGGGGGGCATTCGAGTCTTACTCGTCTTATCCGAGGCAAGGCCCGGCGGCGAGAGCAGATATCTCCGGTCGGTCGGGACCGTTTCCTCTTCCGAACCGACCGGGGAGGCGCGCACTCCTCGTCGAAAGCCTTCGAAGGCTTTCGACGAGGGGTAACACGGTAGCTGGTCGCCACGGCGTGTAGGGCAGGGCCGGGAGCGGCGACCTGTCCAAAGCGTCCGTGGGGCCCCTCGGGTGGCGTTGCCCGTCACGGTACCCGCGCAGTCGGAGGCGCGGGACCCCTGAAAGCCCACGTAGGCGTCAAAACCTGCGTGGGTGTGTAAGGGGCTCGGGGTCAGGCCGGGGTGCGGTATCCCCCGGCCAATGACGTACGTCCCCTCCCCGGGGGAACTTGGGGCCCGGATTTGGAGTGTGGCCGGTCATGTTTCGGGCACCCTTTGGCCGGTGGGGTATACCCTGGGGGACAGGAGCCGTGACGGGAAAGTGGGATTAAACAAGAATGAGTTACAATCTACGATCAAACACAAACACAGATGGGGCGGAAACACAGGCGACCTCTATTGCCGATAAAATAGAGGACGGGACAGTGGTGGGCGGTGCATCAGGGGCACCGGTGGCGAGCTGCCGCCCGGGCCCAAAGTCATCGAAGATGAAGAAGGCCGCAGAAGAGAAGACGGTGGACCAGGGAAGGGACGTGTCTCCCGGCTCCTCAGCATCCACCTTGGGCTATTTGTCCGAGGGTGAAATCTTCGGCTCGATAGAGTCGTTGCCGAGCACCCTCATGGACCGCGGGCAGTGGAGCCCCCAACATCCTCCCACGTCGATCAGGGAGAAGAGGTGCGCGTCGATGTCGTAGCATCGGAGGACGAGGCGCCACCAGAAAGGGACATGCGCGGGCGTAAGCCCAAAAACCCGGCGCTTGCCGGAAAATTCGCGGGAGTAGGCAAGGCGCGCGATGAACTGCGCAAATTGCGCTATGCGCGTAAGCTGGCGCAAGAGGAGGCCGATGAGAGGAGAGCCCAAGCCGAAGCAGCCCGCATAGGTGTCATGCTGAGGCGAGAACCGGGATCCTCCTCCTCTTCCCATCCGACCAATCAAGGTCTGCCAGGGAGGACAGACGGACGATCAGATCGTCGCGGAGCGACCCCCACCGCTCCACCGTCGAGCAGTTGGCTTCTTCCATAGAAGAAGCAATGGGGGTGGTAGAGGATGTTGCCCGCAAATCGGGCAACCTAAAGGGGACTTTCGTCCGCAATCTGAAAGACGTAGCGGTAGATGTCAGACAGACGACGGACGAATTACATCGTCGAGTACTCGAGACTGGCGATGCGGACGGTCTTCGCGCCGACAACGCGAAGCTGAGGCTGGAGAACGAATGTCTCCGGAATCAGATAGCATGTCTCCAAGCCTCAGTGGAGGCGTACAAAGTGCACATATGCACTGCAACGTCCGGCCAAGTCATGGCCACCCCGGTTACCTGGCGGCCCACGAGGAGGAAGCGATGGTATGGAGCCCACTCGGTTCTGCCGGAAGTTCCGGCGCAACAAACGGGACCAAACGGTCCCAATCTACCGCCGCTCCCCCAGCGCAAGAAGAGGGGGGACAAGAGACAACGAGTCGACACCACGAACGAAGAGGACTCTCCCTCGGAGACCACCTTCAAGGTACCGGAACAACCGGTACCTGGGAAGAAGAAGAGGGTCACCAAGATGGAGCTTGGTGACCAAGAAAAACAGGGGGTCTTAAAACCAGAGATCCAACCGCCACAAGGGGTGGAACACCCTTTGCCGGCTCCCCGCACACCACTGCGAGAGTCTGGCGTTAGGAGGATGGAGGAGAGGAACGACCTTGGCGAAGATATCTTTGCCAGGATAGAAGAGCTCCTGGAAAAGAAGCTCGGGGCATTCCGCCAGAAGATCTTGGCGGAGGTTAGACCAAAGCCCCGTATCATAAAGAATGAGGTCTTGGTGCCTCCTCGCCGCAGCAAAAGGGGCTCTGGGGGGAATACGGGAGGTGTCGGGGTTGGGGGGGGGTGTTATTGTTTCGGGGGAGGGGGCGGGGCCGTCGGGATGCAAGTCCTCGGGGTTTTGTTTCCCTCGCACCCGGAGCCGGCACTCAACCAAAGCCCGGATCCGGCACCTTACCGGCGCTCGAGTCCGGCCCTCAGTCGGTTAAGAAGAAAAAGGGGAGTGCTGAACCCCCCGTCGCGAGCAAACAGCCAAAGGCTGTCACGGCGGCCGCCACTGCGGGCACCTCCCCGGTACAAATGGCGGAGGTCTGGTCCAAAGTGGTCGGCCGCAAAGAGAGGAAGGCAGTGGCCAAAGCGGCAAAGCCCGCGGCGGCTAAGCCCGCCCAGGTCCCCCAGGTTTCTCAAAGAGGACCCTGAAAGGGAATCAGAAAGACGAGGCGCCGCGGAAGGCGGCCAAGGCAAAGCTGCCTCGCGCCCCTCCAGCGTCAGCGATCACGCTGATGAGGCCAGAAGGGTGCGAGTGCACTCTGGACAAACCATGGGCCTTGCGAAGGCGGCCATTAATTTGGCCGATTTCGGCCTAACCGGACTCAGGTCCAAGAGGGCCGCCACCGGGGCGCTTCTGCTCGAGGTTCCCGGTGAAGGGGGTTCCGCCATAGCGGAACAGTTGGCCGCCCGCATGGCGGAGGCTCTTGCTGGGACGGGCATTAAAGTCGCCCGCCCCATCAAGCGGGTAGAGGTCCGGATCTCCAATCCGGACTCGACAGATGAGGCAAGCAGGAAGGAGGTAATCTCCTCCCTTGCTTCCGTAGGAGGATGTCCCGAAGGGGACATACGCGTCGGCGATATACGACGTGCCCCCTCGGGTCTGGGAACCCTGTGGGTTCAGGCCCCGCTCGCGGCCGCCCGGCGAATCGCCGCGGCGTCCGACAGGCGCGACCTGGTTGTCGGTTGGGTGATTGTGCGGGCCGAAGTCCTAGCGACCCGACCCCTGCAATGCTACCGCTGTCTGGAGGTAGGCCATCCCAGTCAACGGTGCACAAGCGCCGTTGACAGAAGCGGGCGCTGCTACCGCTGCGGGGGCACAGGCCACACGGCCGCGAAGTGCGAGGCGACCCCCAGTGCCCACTATGTACGGACCTGGAGAGGCTAGTCACCGTTTGGGAGCACCATCCTGTGCCCCTAAACAGAAAAAGAAGGAGGAGGCGCGTCCCAAGAGGGACTCAAGGCGGCTCATCGGAAGAAGGAAGGAAAAGATCCCACGGGGACACTATCGCGGGGGGTTCTGGGGGGACGCCCATCAATCTGGGCGGAAACAATCGGGGGGCACCCGCTAAGGGGACCTCCCGCAACAAGGAGTCTGGCACGGGGGCCAAGACACCAAAGTCGTAAATGATGGCGGGTGTGTCCGCCACCACCACTACGACTAAGGTGGTACAGGCCAACCTGAACCACTGCGCCGCTGCGCAAGACCTTCTGGTCGCCAGTGCGGCGCGGTGGGGGGTTGACCTTGTAGTCATCTCTGAGCCGTACTCGATTCCGCCGTCTGCGGTCTCGAGCAGGTACGGCTCGGCGGTGATCTTGGCCCCATCGCGGCTGCCCGGCACATCCTTCGAGCGCCTTGCGGCGGGAGAAGGATGGGCAGCCGCTCGGTGAGGGGAATTCACGGTGGTGAGCTGCTACATAAGTCCGCGTCACAAGCGGCCCGTGTTTGAGAGGATTTTGGTGCAATACGCTCCTTCGTAGCACAGTGCAGGAGCCCCAGGATCCTGGTCCTCGGGGACTTCAACTCCAAGTCGGTGGACTGGGGTTGCCCCGAGGACAGTGTAAGAGGCCGCATACTGCGGACTTGGGTGGAGGGCTCGGGGCTACGCGTTCTTAATCGCGGCTCCGAGCCTACGTGCGTCCGCGCTCAGGGGACGTCCATTGTGGACGTAACGTTCGCGACCCCTGATGTCGCTGCCACGGTGTCGGGGTGGAGGGTGATGGACGAGGAGACGCTGTCCGATCATAGGTATATCGCCTTTGATCTGCGTCTCCGTCCAGCAGGGTACCTCCTCGGCACACCTACCCGAACAGCTCACCAAGATGGGCGCTGAAGCGCCTGGACCGAGACGCGTTGCGAGCGGCCATCGCCGCCGCTGTATGGGACCCAGACGCAGACCAGGACCCATGCCCGGATACAGAGTCGGAGGCTGCCGCGCTCCGGGATGTTGCAACGAACATCGGACGCATGCATGCCAAGGGCAGGAGCGGCACCCCCAAACCGGCGTTCCGTGTACTGGTGGAGTACGGAGATCGAGGATCTCCGGAATGCGTGCCTCCGGGCGCGCCACCGGTATGCGGAGCTGCGACGTCCATTCCAGGGCGGAGTAGCAGTCGGGGCGGGGATGCCTGCGGAGACCGAGATGGCCCTCCGAGCGGAGTATCGCGATGCTCGCGAGGCTGTTTCGGGGGCCATCGGTAAGGCAAAATTCCGGGCATGGGAGGAGTTCATCCTCACGTTGGACCAGGACCCGTGGGGGCGGCCGTACAAACTTGTACGCAAGAAATTGCGTGCATGGGCCCCCCCGGTGACGGAGTCCTTAGACCCCAGTTCTTGGGCGGGGTCGTCGACACCCTGTTCCCTGGCACTCAGGGGCAGGAGCGGCCTCGCCCAGAAGACCAGGACGTATCCTGGTCCGAGGACGATCTGGGGGTCACGGAGGATGAACTCAACAAGGCCATGCGCCGTCTGGGAGCCAAAGACACGGCTCCGGGTCCAGATGGCGTTCATGGCCGAGTCTGGGTCGTGGCGCGCAACGCTCTCGGTCACCGGCTCAGGAGGCTCTTCAATGCATGTCTGAGCCGGGGTGAGTTCCCCCGCAGTGGAGGGGCGCTAAGCTAATGCTCCTCCACAAGGAGGGACGGTCCGCGGACTCGCCTTTGGCGTATCGGCCGATCTGTCTGCTCGACGAGATGGGCAAGTTATTCGAAAGAATAATCGTCAACCGCCTCGTCGAGCACCTGTCCCACGTAGGGCCAGACCTGGCGGAGTGCCAGTACGGTTTCCGTGAGGGACGCTTGACCATCGATGCTATCGAGCATGTGAGGTTCCTCACGGAGAGCTGTGTCGCCCGGGGGGTGTTGCGCTAGCTATATCGTTTGATATAGCGAACGCATTTAACACCCTCCCAGGCTAAGATAAGGGAGGCGTTGCGCGAGCACGCGGTGCCTCCCTATCTCCGCCGGGTGCTGGACGCCTACCTAAGGGACAGGTGGGTGGAATACACAGACAGTGAGGGAGCGATACGTCGGAGGGCCGTGTTTGCGGGAGTTCCACAGGGGTCCGTGTTGGGCCCCACCCTGTGGAACTTGGGTATAACACGGTTCTGCGGACCGTCTTGCCCCCGGGGTCACGGTAGTCTGCTACGCAGACGACACACTACTCGTGGCCACGGAGGCGGACTGGCTCGAGGCCCACTCTCGAGCCGAAGTAGGGGCGCGACAATTGGCCGCGCGGATTCGCGACTTAGGTCTCCGGGTAGACCTGCGTAAGACCGAGGCGCTATGGTTCCATGCGTCTAGGCGGCGGGTCCCGGGCCCGGTGACGAAGATCCGGTTGAGTGAGACCACACACATCAGGACAGGGCCAAGATGCGATATCTCGGCCTCTTCCTGGATGGCTCTTGGGCATTTAGAAGCCACCTCGACGAAATGACCCCCGTATACAGGGAGCATCTCTGGCGTTGGGCCGAGTGCTCCCCAATAAGGGGGGTCCAAGCACGTGGTGCGCCGTCTTTACCTAGGCGTGATACGGAGCATGGCCCTTTACGGGGCCCCGGTGTGGGCGCGCGACCTTCGCGCGTCACCGCACAACAGGAGAGTCCTCCTGCAGATGGGGCGGCGCGCGGCACAAAGGATCGCGCGCTGCTACCGTACCGTATGCGCCATGGCGGCGAATATCCTCGCGGGGGTCCACCACTGGACCTCCTGGCGGAGATGTACTCCAAATTGTACCGACGTACAAAGGAGATCCGCCGGGGGGTACCCAAAGGGGCCTAGGAATTACATCCGTAAGTGAGATCAACTGTCTCTAATGCGCAGCAGCGCCACTCAGTACGGCACTTTTAGCCAAAAGAATTTAATCTCTTTGCATAGGATGGGACCTTGCGCAATTATTGGTGTTGGGAAAGGAACGAGGGTGGGTTTATTTAATTTATTAGTAGGTATACTAGGCCGGTTCTAACTCAGGGGCAATGAGGGAAGGTGAGGCGCGGGGGGAATCGGAGGCGAGGAGGGTGATGTCCACGCAGGGAAGGGGTCTTATCAGTTGATAAGCTTATCTTATCAGCTCAGGTTACCTGATAAGGGGCTCATGTTACCTGATGTTTATAAACAAATATAAACATATATCTATTACAAGATAAGATATATAATACAGCAATATCTATTATCCAAGATAAGATAAGGTAAAAATTCTGATTAATCAAATTCTAAAAATTATTAAGAACAAAAGGGCGAACAAAGGGCCGCCGTTTCTTTGGCGAGCGCCGTCAATCAAATATTTATTACTAAGGGGGAAGGGATTGCGTTTCTTCCCCCCATACGTGGCTTGAGAGCGGCTGCTGCTGATCTATACGTTATCTGTTTATTTCTAAGAAATATCAGCAGGGATATTTTTGCGTCATTGGGAACGAACGTGTTGCGACATGTCTTCGCCGCTTGCGACGTGTTTTCGCCGCTTGTGACGGGGTGAAATTTACACCAGGAATGTAACAATAATCTGCCGAGCGGCGGCTTTATAATTGTTATCAATTTCGGAGAATTATTAGCGGGGAGATATCGCAATTATTTCTTGCAAATTAAAAACTGGCATCATCGAACGTTGAAGAACAAAGGGTTGAACGGGATATATATGAGGGCTGATGCTGCTGTCGGGTCATAGTACGTTGACCACGAAAGCGCTTAAATTCGGTCTGCAAGAAAAAGTTTAGTGTGTAATCTCAAAGCAGTAGTTATATCTGTGTAAAAATGTGAAACGTGAATTCACAAAAATGGAGAACACGGAGAATGTTGAGCGCAACCATTTCTCAATTGATTATAAAAATATGGAGAAAATGTTTGGGCATCTCGAGGATCATGACGAAGAAAAGTAGTGGGATATTAAACCTCGTGAAAAAAAGGAGGAAAACGTTCCGGTGACTTCGATTGTACAATATTTACAAAATCGCAAACTTGGTGTGCGAAAACCTAACACAAAGAAAGTGCGAAATTTTCTAGGAGCTCGTGAACATAGTGTAAAAAAAGCTCAGATGTGTAGTGTATATACATACTTACAGCATAAATCTTATATATGCCCTGGATACAAAATACCATCATGTTATATACATAAAATGCCTAAACGCATAATACCAACATGTTATGAATATAAGTTACATAGTAAACTTCGAGAGATATATATAAAAAATTAACTTTTTAGTAAAAGTAGAATATAGTTGTCCAGGTGAATTAATACTATCACCACCATCATCACCATCACCGTCAGAAAAAGTACTCGATTAGAGACGTTGGGTAAATATTGATTTGTTTGCTTATTGTAAATTAAAAAAGTGATTGCTAAACATATGTGAAGAATATAGTATATCAAAGTTTCTGAGAAACGTGTATCATACTTGTAGAAGATATGTCTTCGCGGGAGTGTTAAACAGAACGATGATCAGCTATTGAGCAACCGCTGTATTTGTTTCGGCGAAGATTATCTTTCTGAGATAATTGCAATCACACATAAAGAACGAAGAGCTAAATGGAATATGTAATGACGACTGATGTCCGTGTCAACCCATAGTCCAGGAATTGACAATGCGACCGACGGTAGAAGTTCCGTTGAGCAAACCTTTGTCCGAAGTCGCAGGCACGTCAACATTGTATGCAGAGAAGATCTTCGAGAACACCAGTGGAGGACAGCAGGCCCAGAAACAAAAGAAAATCAGCCAACAGGGAGCGGAATTAACGGAATAAATAAAAAGGTATCAATTGGAATACAATTTCGATAAGATATAATATTCATCCGCGCAAATATAAGATAAGTTATGCGATTATCAAAATTTTAAGTTTACGCGAAAAATGCGAATAAATTTCGTTTCATTATATTATTTAAATTTTAAGTTTACG